ATGACATACAAACAATATTATCGATTCATATTATATAACGCAAAGATTAATAACACCATGGTGACCATTCTCCTCAACCTGCTTTTACACTCGTGCCAAGTGCTTTTTCTCTATCTTTCTTATTATTATTTTATTCTTACAAATGATAATTACGTGGGACTTTAGAAGTGAGAAGGATGAACTTTATGTTTGTAGTTTAACCATTGAGGTAACTATTTACCCTCTAGTAAAATTGTTTTGCTCTTAGCATTTTTGTTAAGTACTTTTTGGTAGTACTAATAAGAAATTGCTGATTTGAGCTTATACAAGTTAATGTGTTTCTTTCTTTGCACTCAAGTATGAACCTACTTCTCCTTAATTTAAATAAATTTTGTGCAGAATATCCTACTATTTGTCTAAAAAGAAAATATCAATAACAACCTATTATTTATCTAACCTGCCTATTAACAACACTGCCCTTCGTAACATCTCTAATTTAAAAAACGTGGTGGGGCTGGTGTTGTGATCAGGGACGATACTGGAAATTTTGTGGCTGGTTTTTGCAAACCTTTTCGAGATTTCTTCTCTCCCCTAATGGCAGAGAGATGGTGTGGTTTGGGCAGCGTCAAGGGGTTTTCACAACACTGTTATTGAGGTTGATTCCCTTCAGATTGTGGGTGCAATGGCTGAGTCTTCATGTAACTTGTGTACCATCTGCAACATCATTGAGGACTCTAAGCTCTAGCTTCCTATGATCACTAAAGGAGTTTGTACCATATACGTCGCCAAGCCAGTACCGTGGCCCATCGTATGGCTCGTTATAGTTTGAACAGTGGAGATCAATGTGAATGGCTGGACTTCCCTCCGTCCTTTATCACTGACCTCCTTGTTGAGGACCTGATGTAACTTACTGTGTGTTTCTAAATACCGTTTTTGAACTATCCTTGTAAGCTCTTTTGGGTTTTGAAGTCATTTTGGCTTCTACCCTTTAATGAAATACCTATCGTTGCACCTCAAAAAAAAAAAAAATCCATATGCACACATATAGCGTGTGGGTTTCATCCAATACAAATAAAGCTTATTGCCAAGTAAGATTTACATATGTAATTGGTGTTCTCTTCATACTTTTTTATTTTGCTTCAATATCTAGTACTTTTGAAGTTGGCTTTATTCGATTGTATCTTCCAACAAAACTATCCTATTCGTATTGGAAGACAAAACAATCAATTTGGGAATGAAATTTATATGTGCGAGTAAAATGTCGATGGTTGCAAGTTAAGAATATGATTCCAACCAAAAGACTGCTGATGTAGAGACATAAACCCTCCTTCTGCCATCCTTCTTCATCATTTTTGTCTACGCACGTTTCCTCTATCATAATGTAGAGATATAAATTAATCAAATACAGTAAAATTACGTCACGTAAACTACAAGCCCAAATATAACAGCTTTACTTTTGATGCCCACCACACATAAAGGTCTTGGGCTAAGCAAGGCTTGCTCCATAGGTCTTGGACTTTAATTTGGGCCATGATGTCTTTACCTCTGCCACCACGCCCTTTTGGGCTTGAGAAGGTAGGGGTTGACCATTTGGGGACTCTCTTGGGTTTTATCCTCTCTGGCGGGCTCATGTACCAAAGACTGTGCTTACCAATAGTGATATGCTCAAGTGGTCTCCTCAATAATGAATGCATCACCTCCATAAGAACATTAGGTCATCTCTAACCGATCCGGCCAGAGAATCATAGGGTTAAAAAGAGTCTGAAATGACATGAAAACAGCCTCCATCCGAAGGTTAGGCCAAAGGATTTGTGGGCCCCACCGGGCCAAAAACACCAAATTAGGCTAAGCGGTTGGCCCAAAGAAGCTAGTCAGTTAGGCCCGGACCGACCCATTTTTGAACCCCAACGGCTTCCTGGCGTTAGCTAGCTAGTAACGACTAACTGACGCTAGGTGACCGTTGGATTTGATTTTTTTTTTTGGACAAAATTAAAAAAAAAAAAAAAGAAAAGAAAAAATTCCCATTCTTTTCCTATAAATACCTAATTCATTCCTATACCATTTCTCACATAATTTTCACCATTCCATACTATCTTACTTCATTTTATTTCAATTCTTCACATTATGTTCTCTTACCTCTTCCAATAATCTTTCCTTCAATTTTTCAATAATTTCCAAATGGTCGCATTTGCAATGAAAGGTAGGTTTGGACCCGAAAAGAAGATGAAGCTCTTTGCAGGGTTTATAGATGGATCTCGAAAGATAGTGTGAGGGGGAGTTCTCAAACAAGTGAAGGTGTTTGGACTCGTACGTCCAAAAAGTACTATGAGTTCTACGAAGGCACCACTCCACCGAATTACTGAAACCACGAGAGTTGTTCTTCAATATGGAAAAAACATAGTCATCCAAGTTTGAATAAATGGCATCAAGCAATGTTAAAGGCCGAAAGCAGACATGAAAGCGGAGCCAATTACTATGACGAAGTAAGTGTTTTCACAAGTTCTTTTAAATATTTAATTATATTACATTAATTTCCTTTAATTTTTGTAATTATATTTTCTAGGTATGTCAAGCGGAGGAAGTGTATATGGAGGACAACTTGAAACCCTTTAATCATCACGGTTGTTGGGAAATTTGTAAAGGGTGGGTGTTATTTGAAGATCCATCTCAAGAAAGAGTTGGTCCTACGCTGGTGTTCGGAAACGCATCCTCCAATGCAGCTGGGGATGAACATGGATCTCCTACCATTCAAGAAACAAGGGTAGAAAATTTGTATTCAGGTGAAGGTTTCATACCTAGAGCTATGAGACGAAACAAGGCCCGAAAATTAAAGGAAAAAGGCAAGGCAAAGGATGATTACGCCTTTCAACAGGAAATGGCGTCCTCATTTCGATTAATGGCGGAGCAAAATGCCTTTACTGTGGAAGAAAGGAACCGTAGACACGAAGAATGGGAAAAACAAATTCAAGAAGAGATGGATGATAGGAACATGCAAATAAACACTTCGGATTACACTCAAATGAGTAAGACATATTTTGATAGAAAAAAGAGGGAAATTATGGGCCGGGAGTTGTTTACATCCGACTATAATCCTACAATGGTGGATGATAATGATTATAGACTTTAACTTTTAAGTTGTTGTAGTCTTTAAATTGAAATAATAAATTATGTTTGGCCTATGGCCCTTTGGCCCCTAGGTTGAAGATGATTTTTTGTTACATAACTATGTTTAGCCCCTTGGTTGGAGATGGTAAGAAATATGGCATGACATTGTTTATTAAAATATTAATTTTTTGAAGAACTATAGGGCTAAAGAGAATTCTCTGACCATCTTTCAGTTGAATATGGCCTTTAGAGTCTGCCTAGCATGATCTGAACCCTTTATTCAGGAATTTCCACACACACACACGTGTTAATATGTGTAACGTGTTCGTCCTGATATTCATGCATGCATATGCAGAGCAGCAAGCTAATTAGTTATTCAGTTTTTCGTACTTGAGCCAAAAGTTAACGTTCAATTCCAAGGAAAGGATCTCTCCGGATACCATCGTTCCATCCACTAAATCAAGAGATTCGTGTTATTGAAATTTGATTAAACGGCTAAAGTTATTATAATTTTTAAAGTAGGTCCCTAATTGTAGCCGTTGAATCAAATTTTAATGACACGAATTTCCTGATTTTGTGAATTAGAAGGAAGAGATCTGGAGATGATCCCTTTCCCAATTCCAAAACCATATTATATATACTTAAACTCAGTTTTGGGTTGGCACTGTTGATCTATAGCATGCGGGCGGGAATGCCCTTGGCTTCTTCTCTGTTCCCCGTTCTCTTGCCTCGTTAGATGGTTGGTACTGTTGTTACAATATTCCTAATGTACATGGTTCCTCTCTATCGACAAATACTTACTGCAGTGCAGAATCAGAGTATGGTGTTAATTAACGCCTTCTCTCTACATCCTTTCTTGATCAATCGAGTCAATATCTCCATTTCTTGCATATATATATATAGATATATTCTCTACAGTTACTAAGTATGGTGTTAATTAACGCCTTCTCTCTACATCCTTTCTTGATCAATCGAGTCAAGATCTCCATTTCTTGCATATATATATATATATATATTCTCTACAGTTAATATTCACTTGTTGGGGCAAACCAAGTTGTTGATTTTGCTTCTGGTCCAACCGCATCAGCCTTTCTTTTTCCTTTTCTTTTATCTTTTCCTTTCATCTTTAACAAGGGAGATATGTGCATTTGCCTTTAGCATGAATGATCATTTTTTAAATAGTTGCAGAAATGATCAGTTTATGATATCGTCTTTATGTCATTGATGGGTCTTCAATATATGCTTAATATGTGATCGTTACAAAAACCGATCATTTATGCAACTAAATATCAAAAAATGATCATTCTTACTAATTGTTCAATATTTTCCTCTATTTATTTTATGACATGTAGAGTACCACTTGAATACTGGCTTGTAAGAAAAATTCCTCTGTAAAAATGAATATTTTTCCCAAACGATACTTCAACTGAGCTAATACTTTCTTGATCCCAAAAAAGGGAATAGGATCCTATCAGGATTTTCTTTGTAAGGATCTTGAGCATCATTTCATTGTATTCGTTAATCAGTTATTATACGGCCAGAAATCATTTTAATTTTTTATTTATTTAAAATTGATCACAAACGGTACTTGACGAAAATTAACTGTACAATACACGATAAACATACACAATAAAATGATTCCCGAGAATCCGGAGATCTCCACCCCAAAAAGGGAGATGATACTTCATCTCCCTTAATGCTTTCATGATCCAAAAAAGGAGCTAAAATCATCAAAGGGTTATGAAAATGAATTTTTTCAAGTCCAAGTGATATTCTATGTGTTATAGGACAAGAAAAGACAATATATTTTTCTACTTCTATTTATTTTAGGAAACTTAAAAAAAAAGCCTTCCGCTATTGTCAATTTTAACAAAAAACATATTTTTAATCCCTCTTTTATTTTACGGCACATGAAGTAACTCCAATACCGGTTCGTGAGAAAAATTTCTCTTATTTTCCCGAGTGTTGTACCTACCACACAAGAACTCAAAGCCCAGTCCTACCGAAGACCCGCCCAACCCCGTGAGCGGAGCCACCTCATCCCGTCGGCGGCGACCTCACTCCTCATTCAGACTGGCATGTAGGATTCTCAAATCTCGTCACTTTTCTGGCTGTCTCTGATAGTTTGATTCTTGTATCGCAAATGAAATTAGCAATAGCTGGATTGAGGTTCAAATTTCTTTGATTTCTTTTGTTTGAAAGGCCTTAGGAGTTAGGAATCATCATGGTCGGAGCCAGAAACATAACATATTTAATTTTAGTGAATGATGAGTTTTTTTACAGGCGTTCATTGTGAAGGATGATCTGGTGCCTGTTATGTACAATTTAAATTCAAGACGTGTATTAGAGAAAAAGAGCGATGGCCGATTCCAAACCTGAAACTAGTGTGAGATGCCATCATTGTGCAGGTCCTCTTTCTAAGAAGATGGAAACGAGCGAGTGGACTGTTGCACCTCTTATTAGGGATAGCTTTTCAATGGTATTCTTTTCTTCTTTTCTAATTTCATCTCCCACCGCATCTCAATATATGGTCTGTCGACTGTTGGTGAAATTTATTTCGTGTTTATGGTACAGATTGGCTCAGCTCTTGGTGGCACAGCAAGTGCTTTTTATGGATTCAACCATGGTAATCTATTATTCGTTTTCTTTAGTAAAGATTATTTGCTTGAATTTCTTGGACTTTTTAGCCATAATGGTTCCTTAAATTTAAAATTGATAGAATCTGTCCTGAAGTTTGGTTCTTATTTAACAGAGATTTTTCACGGAAGGACCAAAATGATTGATGGTAGACAAACTCAAGGAACACTTCTATCGATTTAAAAATCTTAGGGACCAAAGTGAGGAGTTAAACCGTTTTGGCTAAAATGCCAAGTTCTTAAATGCTTTGAGCGGCACAGGGATCGTAAAATAGAGATTGCTTGTTGGCTTCTTCTTAGACTTCTTCAATGTCTATTGTTTTGTTTCAGTTTTTCATTATAATATATGTGAAACATCCTTCTCTTATCCACCTAGTGGAGTTTTGAAAATAGTTTTGCTCTCTTCTTACCTTGATGTAGTTAAGGTGTTTTCTTTATTTATTCTGTTGGCATAGGATGCACCTCATCCTCGTTAAATGTCTCCCTCCTTAGCTTGTTTCCTAATACATTTGTTGTTGTGTCTCTTGGTGCAGTGATGCCTATTGTTCGGAGGTGGGTAAAAGGACCCATGTGGTTGCACTTTTTCGTTGGTGTAAGTTCTTTAATGCTTTTGCAATTTTACAAGTTATCGTGCTGCATATGACTAAGTATGAAAATGCCAGTATCAGTAGAACTAAAAGTAGCTCAGATTATTGAACCTACAAAAATTATCTAATGGTTAAAAGGATTTCAAATTAAACTTTAGAAAATGCTAAACCAATTATTGATGCATCAAATGAACATGCTAGTGTCATAAACATGTAGGCCCATGATAAACATATGCATGTAGAGCAATGTTTTAAAAGGCGAAGGTGTAGGCGAGACGTTTCATGGATAACCCTGCCTAGGTGAAAGCCTTGAGATGTGAGGCAAGGCCTCACAGCACCTAAAATTTTAATATATATTATGTATATAATTATATTTATAAAATATAATACTTTGTAAAACAAATGTAATTATAACTAAATCAAAGATAATATCATCTTCTTCATTACTAAGTCTAGTTGTACTTGGAAATTAATTCTTATAGTCTTAGATTGTTGTAATTATTTATTTTATAGTAAGCATTTATAGAGAACTTCAAGAGAAATAAGATTGAGTAGCCACATTTATAGGGAGTTTCAAGGAAAATAAAGGCTCAAAGTCTCAATTATAGGGAATTCAAAAGGAAATAAAGGCCGAGTGGAGCAACAACAACAACAACAACAACAAAGCCTTTTCCCACTGAGTGGGGTCGGCTGTATGAATCCTAGAAAGCCATTGCGCTCGGCTATGTGCCACGTCTTCCATTAGATCCAAGTACTCCAAGTCTTTTCTTAAGAGTCTCTTCCAAAGTCTTCTTAGGTCTTCCTCTACCCCTTTGGCCCCTAACCTCTATCTCGTAATTGCATCTTCTGACCGGAGTGTTTGTTGGCTTTCGTTTCACATGCCCAAGCCACCGTAACCGATTTTCTCTCATATTTCCTTCAATTTCGGCTATTCCAACTTTACCTCGGATATCTCATTCCTAATCTTATCCTGTTCTAAGTCGAACAATTATAGAAAATTTAAAATGAAATACAGGCTGAGTGGCCAATATTATAGGGAATTTAAAGGAAAATTAAGGCTGCGCGAGTGGAGCAGTTATAGGGAATTTCAAGAGAAATAAAAATCGAAATGCTAGGTGGCGGAATTTGAATGGGCAACAATTAAAAAAACCAAAAAAAATAGAAAAGAGTTAAGAGTTAGAGAGACTCTCTGTTTCTTCTTCGTTGAAACTATAATGGCTTCTCTGCATTTCAGAACCAGACTTGGGTTTCGAAGGAAAAAAAAGGCCCAGATGAACGCCTGGGCACGCCTCAGCTGCCTAGGCACACCCTGAGGCCGCCGTATGCCGATCCCCACAAAACAGGGGCGAAAACCCAGCCCCCGCCTTCAAGGCCGGCTAGGCGAGGTTTTTAAAACACTAATGTAGAGTTAAACAATGTGCTCGCATGACCTGAATTTTTTTCTGGTTTCTTTTGCCAAACCATTAGAACTATAAGTTGAGGATAAATTTAATTTTGAAGGAGAAATAGGTGGCCCCTTAGCTGCGGTCTCTAACCTTACATTTTTTTTTTTTTTTTTTTTGGGTTGTGTTCTGCGGGTGAATGTAATGCTTTCCTTTGGGATGGATTTGTTATGGGAATGCAAAGGTCCTAATTTGTTTTCTTGAGCATTTGATCTTGTGCATCTCGTCCTTCCAAATCACAATGAGATATGCTTAAGTCCTCGTTTGATCTTATATAAATGAGATTTCCTTAAGAAAAAACTCATCTGGTTCAGAATTAGGATGCAGGAAGCCATGTTTACCTCTTAGATTTCATAGACATCTTGTCCCAATTTCGAGGCTATTCAGTAGACATAATTGACTTCCCAACATGAGTTGTTAAACTCCTCTATAGAATCGAGCACCCTCCTTAAAAAAGAAGTTTCTGGTGCTTCCATTGAAAATTACGTTTCACCTTCATGACAAACATTTTTATGGAAGTAGGTTTGGTAGCCACTTATATCCCTCTTGAGCGGCATATTTTCCACAAATCGTATGCACTTAGTTAGCTAGGATACGAATTATAATGTTTGATAAAGATACTATTTTATTGCAAAAACACAGGAAAACAATGAGGGGGGAATGAGTGGTCAGGATTGTAATTTGGTGGTCTTTGTGGACAAGAATATAACTAATGCATCCAAGTTATATTTGTCACATCTCAAGGCTTTTTGTTCCTTTCTTTCACTCTGACCTGATCAAGGAATATTGTTGTCAGAGACTATTTTTGACGTCTTAGTCTCTTCACAAATTGTTGTTTTATGCTTTACCGACTGAACTGTCCACACTTATATAGTGACAATATTTATAGTTATAGATTGATGTGAACATGAAAATGGTACTGGTACATTGTGTTAGTTGGGTTTCCTGCCAAATTGCGGATTGGACCCAAACGAGTGGATAGCACTTTGTTAAGTTCCTAATTAGCGTATAAGTGCGTTGGTATATGGTATAATATATGTTCTATATACACGCGTGCACACACGCACATACATTATCAGGTGATCAAAATTTATCATGGTTAGGAAAATAAATTATACTTTGCCAAGCCTATATTTTATCAGTTGGACATGGATTGGATTCTGTGTATCTGCATGCATGCATTTGTGTCTCAGAATATTTCAATTTATGTTCCTAAAACTTTGGAAGGATTGGATTGTTTCTGAGTTTTCTTTGTTGCACTATTTGTATCTGCTAAATTTTTCAATGGCTACAGCGAATAACACAAATCTCCCTTTTGCAACTGTAGGCTCCACCTGTGATTGTATTCTCTTCAGCTTGTGCAGGTTTAGCAGGTCAGTGATTGTCTTATTATACTAACCACGTTCATGAGGTGTGGGCTATTTGACTAGTTTTCACTTTGACCAATGTCTAGTTGTAAACTTTGTTAGAGAAAATATTTTCAAAACACCTTTCATGTGCAAATGTCTAGGTTTCTTAGACAGCATGCCTCTTTGTTATAGTTTTGTGAAGTCTTTGATAACGAAGGTGTACCACATGTTCATTATTGAGCAACCAGTTGTGCAATGTAATCTTCGTGTAGTGACTTGATGGTAGTATTTGGGACCTGGATTATTTGGTCGAGTTAGAACATCTGACATAGACCAAAACAAAAGTACTGAACTTACGAAAGAGACGAAAAGTTCTGTAGCTATATGAACCACAGCATAGTTTTGAAATTAGTGCTTGTCACTGGTGCAAACATTGAGAAGATGCTTCCAGATGTTGGATTGGTGTGAATTAATGTCTAGTCTGGTGGGAAACAATAATACTGTTGCAATGGCTGGTACGAACTATCTGGCTCAAAGGCAAGGACAATATCCAGTGCATGTAAAACTTAGGTCTTATTTTATGGTTGTGCAATTCCGTTTGACTGTCATCTAATGATGCCTTTTGGACAATTTGCAGGCGGTGCCGTTCCAGCGTTGGCCCAACTTGCTTCTTCATCTTATCATGCAGTGGTCTCATCGTCCTCATAGCCGCCAACTTCTCAAGATGAAAACATGCACAAGTCCAGAACTTCCTCGATTCTGTAATGTTGTAGAGTTTTACGTACGGAAAAGACACGTTAGGGAACCATCCAGGTTTGACCTGTCCACCAGATCAAGGTTCTGTCGGCTTGAGGCAGACACAAGTCTTGGTGATAAAAAGTGAGTTACGATGCAAATTATTGTTTGGTAATATTGTATGCAGTCAATAAAATTGTCAGTTTTATAGGATATGAAATACCTAATTGCGTTTTAGTTTCCTCGAACCCTAGTGCTTTTCTCTCCATATTTCATGTAAATCAGGAAATACATACAAGGCTGAACACGGATGTATCCCAATGATTCTACGTATCATATATTTTTTTTCCTTGGAACAAATTGCATGGTTGTCAGTTTAATATTTGTTCTAAATGCCGCTCAACCGAGCTTGCTGTGCCCAGGCCGAGGAAATACCCCCCTTCTTGTTGGAAGATGAATAGTCACTGGGAAATGTAAATGTGAGTGGGCAAGTGCGGATAAGAAGTAAGAACCACCAATATTGAACGAGAGAATTGTTCGTTACGCCGAGCATCTGGTTGTCGATTGAGGTTTGTGCTCTTGGGGATTTTAGGAAGGGTAATGTTAGGAAGATCAATTTTTTAAAATTAAATTTGCAAGTCAAATGATGTAGATGATTAGATTGTTAATTAAGTGTCGATTAATGTGTTTTTTTTGTGACACATAATTTGATTTGAAAACTTATTTCATAAATTTGGCCTTCCGAGCATTACTCTTTTAGGAATATACACAATTAAATTACAGGATGATTGAGCTTCAATAAATGTCAAGCTGCAGAGGAAGAGATGTGAATACTGCATCCACATTGTAGAACCATAGTTCAGTACCGACTCCTGAGTTTCGTTCTAATTTAAATTTTAGTTGATTTAAAAAATGAAAAAATTGAGGATGGGCTTAAACCGGAAGACGCGGGCTGCGCTTAGTTTTGGGCCGCCAAAAATGGGTTGGGAAGGGGCCGACTGTAAATGTAAACAACCGCCTTTCAGGGATATCTATAAAAAGGGTGGAGAGAAACCCTAAGAGGTTCAACTACTTGATCTTATCTGAGCAGAGAGAGGGGCACCGAACCGAGTGGCTGAGGCTGAGCCACCCTCCCTCCCTGTCCCCTCTCCTGATGGTTCAGGGTTTTAGGGCCGCTGGCGGCTCTCGACCGTCACTCGCTGGTTTGGTGTCTCTAACCTTCCTGCAGTGAAGACTGCCCGCAGTCAGAGCCCTCAAAAATTCATTCCATATGATATGAAATGGGGGCAGTGATGGCTCAGCGGGCTTACCCCATCCCCATCCCCATCGAAATTTTCATTTTCATTTAAATTTGATTTATTTATTTTATGATTGTTCTGGTAGTTTATTATGCATCTGGATGAGAGAGGATAGTAAAAATTGGATATGTGGTGGTTGTTTTAGTTGAATTTCTTTCAGATATCTTGTGCTCTTCTCTCCTGTACATTTCTTATTGCATGTCACTTCTGAATGAATGATATATTACTTTGGCATCTTGATTGATGTGGACGATTGAGTTGCTACTTGGTAGTTTAGCTGTTAAAACATGTACATAAATATCACCTTGCTTTTCCGTTTTGTTTTGTTTGTGTACCTTTTGTAATATGGTATCGTTGTTGGGTTTTGAATGATATTTAATCAGCTTCGGATTCAGGCATGACGTACACCAGCCCTGCCGTCAGCGCCAGCACCGGCCGCAGCAGGGACAGATGAAAATCTTTAGGTCTTAGGGTTTAGTTGATTGCATTGTCTTGTGGGCTGTATGCAATTAATGATTCAAAGTGTAGAAAGATTACAATTTGTGATAGACAAGAATTCTTTTAATGTAAACCAGCTGTAACTTGATAGTTTGACAAATGGAATGGAAGGGCGATAGCCAAAACTGATTCATGTTCTATTTTACCATGTGCATAATGTATTGTTGGATCTTTGGCCCGTTGGTGTTGGTGGAGATGTAAATATGGCCTTGTACATAAAAGAAATCATAAATCCCTTGTTACAATTCTTAAGTAATCACTAGTGAATACTTTATGCACTCTGATTCGGTCTAAATAAAAAATCTCAAGTTCTTGTTTTTCAAAAGATCGGGAAAAAATAATTAACACAACAATTATTTTTTAAAGTAACAAAATGTGTTAAAATATTATTTGATCAAAATTAAAAATAAACATATAGAGTACTCACGAAGAGAATCTTTTGATGCTTTTTTATTTGAATTATTACGATTAAGTTACGCTAATATCATCTTATATTGATTTTTTTATAAAGATAATAAGACAAAATGTAATGTATGAGAATATGGAATGAAAGGGGATGAAAATAGAAAAATAGAGAATCCTCCGGAGTATTATCTAGTTATTAATATTTAATTCATTACCACCCGTCATTCGGTCATTGATCATAGAAAAACCATAAAGGGGAAGACGAGTTCAATGATGACAGCGTAAGACGTGTTCAAAACAAGAGGAAGGAACACGGGAACGAAGGAGGATACGGCAACACGGCACGAAAGGGAACCTGCTACTCCCTTGTCCTTCTGTTGCTTGGAATTTTGTTGAGCGAGTCACCCATGACACTATAATGTGGTGGGGTAGCCACCATTATACGCCTTTATCCGTTTCTTCGTGTGTATAAACTAAGAAAGGCCACGTTGATGACTCCACTAACACACCAAGTCTTATCCAATCCATCTCTCCTTTTCCCGTTTTCTTATTCTATATCTTTATCCAATCCAAGTGTAAGCGTGTAAGAGTGCAAGAGTGTGTGTTTATCAAGCACAATCACTGTTCGGATCTACCGACTTCACTCGTTCATTCATTATCTTGTCTGGTCTTAAACTTTTTAACGTCTCTTGGATTGGAATTCTGAAATATAATACATGCATAATAAGGAGTTGAGGGTGCGGTGCAGTGCAGTTGAAAATCAGCACTCAACATTGCATTCAAACTTCAAACTTGAAATCCCATATATTATACTTGCATACATACGTACATATATATATATGTATGATGATACCACACCCCAGTAAAAACAACAGGTGAGGAGAGGAGTATCAAGGATCTTCAATCTTCCCACCGACTCAGTACTACATATAGAACAAGAAGGCCAAGAAGCAGCTCTTAAGTACATACACATTTGCAGACGGCATATCAGGAAAGCGGACCAACATTCCGACAGACTGCTCTCTTCAAATTTACAACACTATGATTTTTGCAAGCAGGTTTGGATCCCAAAAACCAATTCCAAAGCCCTGCAACGCTCGACTATTCCGCGCCCTTTTTTTTTTTTGTGGGGGGGGGGGGGGGGGGGGGGAGGGGAGAGGAGGGGAACCTTAGAAACCTTAAGACTATTACTTATATGTTCCACTCTTACTCTTGCATATATGATCATATCGCATCAACAAGAAACACTACTGTACACAATACAACAAGGTGGGCAGAGTAAATGGGTGGGTTTAGGGAATCGGGATGGTGAGGAACACTGACCACGTCATCTCCAGGCAGTGACCACTTGAGCAGACTTTGAGGTTGCCGACGGAAGAGGAAGAAGAGATGGTGCCTCTTCAGCCACAATCACTTCCTCCTTGGCAGCCACATCTTCAGTTGGTTTAGGCGTGTAGGTAAATGAGAGATCTTTGTTGGCAGCAAGAGCGAGGAGCTCTTTCTCCTCCAGCCCTTTTGTTGGCCCAAGGCTGCACCGCTCTGGCTTGTGCTTGGCTAATGCATCTCTAAACTTCTTGATCTGCCAAGTCAAGAGTTATCACAACCACCATCAGGGAACAACACCAACACCAATACAAACAGCAAACATTATTTGCCAATGCCATCCGACCAGCAAACATTATCCAAGAGAGAAAAAAACCACAGCTGACCAATAAATAAGATTAAAAACAAGACTCAAATGCTTATCAGCAAGTGTAAAGGATGGCATATAAATTGGAACTCAGCTTTTGGAAAAGACCCCAATACCAATTGACAGGGATTCAATAATAAACTCATCAGAGACCAAATGAAGGAAAGACAAACACTAACCGTGGCGTTGGTGCAGCTGAAGCTGCAAAGGCGACCATGAGCACCTCGGTAAAAGCGGAAGAAGGGGAGGACATGAACATTGAGACTGTAACACATGGACTTGTGTTCCTCGTAGTTCACCTGAAGGAATTGGACATCCGGGTTCATCTCTGCCAGCTGACATATCTTGGGATGAAGAGCTTTGCAGCCACCACAGCCAGGAGAGAAGAAATCAACGATCACCAGCTTATCCCCGGCGTTTGAAAGGGATTCCACTAGGTCCTCTGCAGATGACACCTCTTTCATGTTGGGCTGGTTCCCCTTCTCCCACCATTTCGCAGCTTTCCCAATCCGAAATCCAGACTGCTAAATTCCATTCCCCCACAACAAAAAAACACAAACCAGTTTTTAACTTAAGCAATCAAAAAGCATAGAAAAAAATCTCCTCATGACTTAATTGATCAAATATTGATCCGAAAGTCGATTTAAATTTGGGGAAAATCAACAATCACGAGCAATAATATCTGAAGCCCAGCGGAGCAGGGGAATCAGATTCAGAACAAGGATATGGGAAGAAAGAAACGAACCTGCTGGGAATAAACGGCTGAAGAAGCGTGGGATTGGGAATTCCCCCTGATGCCGGTGGCTTGAAAAGCAATCCTTTTCCCGTGAAAATCACTCTTTGTGGACAAGGATAGTGATGAAATGTCCGGATTCAGTTTGAAAGAGCAAGAGAAAGAACCTGATTTATTGTAATTACAACTCTTTGGGAAAACGGAGATGCTGCTTTTTTTGTTTTGATGATGATGATGCCAGGATGACAACAGACTGGTTTTGCTCAAAACTTCTGCCATCGATGATCGATCGATCGATCTCTGAATTCAATTTCCACCAAAACCCCCCAAACAAACAAAAAATAATAATAATTGAGAGAATTGCGATTTGATCGACTTGAGATTTGAGAATTGAGAATTTGGGATTCGAGAAAAGGAAAGGAAAGAAATGGCTCAAAGTTGAAGCAAAGAGCACGCGGGTGGGAAACTTGACAGAGTTTTCAAAGGGGAAAAGGAAAAGGAGAAACGAGAAAGCAGGAGAATTCTTCCTACGTAACAACCAACAACTGTAAAATCTACACTCTTGTCTGGAACCTTATTTAACCGTACGTTATGTCGACGGCACTTAATCACACGGTTACAATACTATCACAAGAGTTGTGGTCCGCGTGTGCGGTTCAACGTAGCTTGTGGTGTAGACTCAGCAGAGAGAGAAAATTGTAGACAGACAGACAGACAGACAGACATGTTAGATAAGGGTTAATTTGTATTTTAATTTTAATTTGATGGATATGGTGCACTTGCCAGCGCACGTGAACACGTGGCGATAGTTTACACTGCCTCATCCTTTGAATCCTTCATCTTAGATTCTTAGGAAATGAGTTTAAAGGGAAAATTGGATTATTCTTTGGGATATTATATATTTCAATGTCGCTTCTTCGCCAGCTCAATCCACGAGTCAATTTCATTATAGGACACTGTATAAAAACAGATTTTAGCTATTTATATTTAACAAGGTTTGAAGGGATTTCTACAGTATAGACTTATAGAGGGCGTCCAGCAACATAAAAACACATCTGAACAAGAAAGTTACTTTCTCTAGTCCACTGCATTTAACTATTCTTATTCAAATATATAACTTAAATAACCACCAACTGTGCTGGGGCAGATTACGAGGTTTTCTTAAAACTAAAAATTACAAGTTTCGGATTCGAAACTTACTGCTGGTGTGGAAGTCAGACTTGTGGTCAGAAAAGGCTGAAATGCTTCTGTGAGTTTTTGCGACTCCCGAAAGGGATGGATAACGGTGATCAATTGTCCTTAAAAAAAAAAAAAAAAAAAAAAAAAGCATGTATATATATATAATTTAAATGTGCAGAAAAGAAAATTCAAAAAGAGCGATGGATCCCAAACACGATTTGCTGAGGCGAGGCCCATTCATTATTTTCCTTGGGAGGGGGGCGGGGAGTGTCATTTTAAAGCCCCGTGGGCAAGAAGCACCCAGCCCAACCACAACGGTATGCAGAGAAAGCATGGTTGGACAAAAACCGGAATTTGATTTCGAGTTACAGAATCCCTCACGTGTCAGGTGTAAGTTTGTGCTGATGCCTGGTGCGACGACTCCGCCTCCTCCAACTCCAAATATGCTCCAACTCCACCTTCAGCTTCGTGCTGGATTCCCCCGCACCCATCCATTAATTCAAACCCAATTGCCACTACCACCACAACTCCAATTGCTAGAATAGTCGACCCCTTTTTCTCTCCAACTGATCCCAACAATATTATTCCCAATCTCACTCGCATTCACAACTGCAGCTTCGTCAATGCTAAAACAACCTTCAAATTCAAATGCCGCTGCTGCCGCTGCTGCTGGATTCACAACATTACTCCTTCTACTTCAACTGCAGCAGCCACTTTCACCAGTAATAGTAATAGTAATGATTTCCATCAACAAAACAAGAGCTTCTAGGGTGCTGTCACTCTGATCATTGGCATTGCCGCTGGTCCTGGCATGCTCGGTTTGCCCGCCGCTACCATCTGCTCCGGCCTACTCCCCTCTGATGGAGAAAAGTTAGCAAGTCTATCTATTGTGGACACAAAAGTCAGGAAACAAGATCCAACAAAATAAGGCTTTCGATCACAAAGTCAAGAGGTCTATTGTATAGATACTCAGTCTTGTATAGGCTAGCTTTTATTGCATATGGTTGAGTGTAGCAGGGGCAGCTGCTGCCTTTATTATTTACAACTCCAGCACTGTTATATAATGGAGGTTTTTCTTGTAACATTTTCAATATACAAAAATGTCACTTGGTCAGAGTTTTGCTATGAAAGATCTGGGACCCCTCCATTTCTTCCTGGGCTTCGAAGCAACTCGTGGTGATGATGGGTTGCATCTTAAGCGGACCAAATATATTATTGATTTGTTGAAGCGTGTAGATATGTTGGAAGCCAAGCCTTGTGCTACTCCAGTTCAATCTGGCTCTCCACCTCTCTCCATTGATGGTGTTTCGTTGGATAATCCTACTACCTATCGAAGTGTGGTAGGGGCTTTACAATACTTAACCATCACTAGGCCTGACATCACGTATGCAGTGAATCAGGCATGTCAGCATATGCATAAGCCCACCTCGGTTCATTGGATTGCTGTCAAGCGAATACTTCGTTACTTAAAAGGCACCCCTCAAGAAGGGCTTATGTTTCGTCGTGGTGGTACGGACTTGGTTGGATTTTCTGACTCGAAATATGCTGGGGATCCCGACACTAGGCGCTCTACCGGTGGTTTTGCATGTACTTTGGTCCAAATTTGATTTCTTGGAGTTCCAAAAAGCAACGCACAGTTGCTCGTTCAAGTACCGAATCTGAATATCGGCAGTTAGCAATCACGGCAACTGAACTTGTTTGGCTACAGCAGCTGTTGCAGGAGCTTTGCATCCCTATTTCCACTCCTTTGATTTGGTGTGATAATACAACCTATTGCATTGCCGTCTAATCCTGTGTTCCATGCTCGAACAAAACATGTTGCGGTGGATTATTATTTTGTAGTGAGCTTGTTGTGGCAAGTTCGTTGAATGTTCGTCATGTCTCTACTCAATTTCAGATTGCAGATATCTTCACTAAGGGTTTGTCCGCTGATTGTTTTCGTTTCTTAAAATCCAAGCTCGTTCGCTGCCCACTTATGAGCTTGCAGGGGGATGTTGGAGAAAAGTTAGCAAGTCTATCTCTTGTGGACACAAAAGTCGGGAAACAAGATCCAACAAAATAAGGCTTTCGATCACAAAGTCAAGAGGTCTTTTGTATAGACACTCAGGGTTGTATAGGCTAGCTTTTAGTGCATATGGTTGAGTGTAGCTGGGGCAGCTGCTGCCTTTATTGTTTAGAACTCCATCACTGTTATATAGTGGAGGCTTTTCTTGTAACATTTTCAATATACAAAATACAATATCTTTTACCCTCCACCCCTTCCGTCCTCCTCTCTTGGCTCTATGCCATCTCCTCCGTCATCCTGGTTGCCGAGCTCAGCTTTTCCGCCATGAAACAAGACGACCTTCAAGAGGTCAACTTTATTGCCTTTGCTTCCAAAGCCTTGGTGCTCTTTTTGGTGCATTTGTTGTCGTCGTCTATGCCTCTTGGAGTTTTGCCTTCTTGGTCGCCTGCGTCTCTGGCCTCGGCTCAATTGTCTCCCAGCGCCTTCCCCGCATTCGTGTACCCGCTCACGCTTTGTTTCCCCTTGCGGTAAGATCGCTCATTTCTTGTTTTCTTCCAACGCCATTGATGGTGCAAACCGTGTTCTGTGCTTGCTCATGCTTTTCTCAATAACTTTGTTGGTGTGTAACCCTTCAGCCAAAACTTGAAGCCAAAGAAACAATTCAAATGCTTTGTTTAATAATTGTTTTCAGTTTAAATCTGAGCCATTGGCTCATCTACGTGGCTGCTCTCACTTGTATCTAGCTTAAGTGATAGTTTATAACAAGTGGCATCATCTCATAGGGTGATAGCAATTAAGGGCTGAGATTTGTTTTGGTTTGATGAGTGAAGGATCTTCTTTCCTCTTCCATGTATAATGGTAACAACCTCACATATTTGTTGTGAGCAATCTCGAATTCAATCATCAACATTCTTTATGAAATTCTCTCTGTCATTCTTTGGAACTTTTCCAGATTTGTATCGAGCCTCCATTGAAGCATATCCAACACACACACACACAAACACACACACACGCGCGCGCGCGCACACACACACACATGGCCTCAGAGCTAGGTTTCATCGTCTAAACTGGGCGTGAAATCTGTGAGTACGATTGAGCTGCATTTTGCTCTCAAATTGAATCTGGAAGCTATGATTTCTTGAATCCAAAGTCTAACATGGCTGGATCAAGTACTACTAAGCTTAGAGCTCCGGTCTTCAATGGAGAAAACTACGAATTCTGGAGGATTCGTATGATGACTATACTGAAATTGTATGGTCTGTGGGAGTTGGTTGAAAATGGGTTTGAACTCCAAATCATAAGGATACGAAGGTTTTGCTCGATGAGACGAAGAAGGAAACGACGAAGTTGGCGTCATTCATTGAGACCTTGATGAAAGATGCTCGTGTGCTTGGAATAATCCAAGGAGCTATCTCAGATTAAATCTTCCCTAGAATTGTGAATGAAGAAATGTCCAAAAGTACTTGGGATGTCTTGAAGAGTGAATTCCGATGAGACAAACAAGTAAGAAGTGTAAAATTGCAAGGGTTACGTAGAGGTTTTGAATATACCCGCATGAAGGAAAATGAATTGTTATCTGTGTATCTCACTAGATTATTTGATATCACTAATCAAATAAGAAGCTATGGAGAAGAATTATCTAAGGAGAGAATTGTGCATAAACTGTTAATTAGTCTACCAAAAACATATGATGCAATCTGTTTTGTGATTGAGCACTCTAGAGATCTTGAAACTCTTGAGGTACAAGAAGTTGTTGCTTCATGATAGAGTCCATATTATACTATATATTTTACCCTAATCATAGTATTAATTTATTAGTTATTTTGGTAGAATTTTGATACTTTGTTATATATTTTCAATATAGAACATTCGACTTCCTCTGGAGCAAAAAGTGATCAAACTGATGAATTTTGGAGTAATTCCAATTGGAGGATGTTTGTGTACCTTTCAAGATGATTGTATCAAAATTTCAGATTTTTCTACCAAGCTGTTTGAGCATGGCGATGAAATAAAGGCCCAGCACGCAGCTTTCCCAGATTGATGTTTCTTGACATTTTGGGTATTCAATATAGAACATTCGACTTCCTCTGGAGCAAAAAGTGATCAAACAGATGAATTTTGGAGTAATTCCAATTGGAGGATGTTTGTGTACCTTTCAAGATGATTGTATCAAAATTCCAGATTTTTCTACCAAGCTATTTGAGCTTGGCGATGAAATAAAGGTCTAGCGCGCATCTTTCCCAGATTGACGTTTCTAGACGTTTTGGGTATTTGGGAGG